AATATACTGGCCCTACTGAACCTCAGTTTTGAAGTATAATAAACTAATCAGAGCAGCGTGTCTCATTCACCAGTTTTACAGGTTTTTCCTTCTATGTGGTTGAACCACAGCAGTAAACCTTTCTCAATTTACATCCCACTGTCCTGACTGATCTTGGGAGGATGGGGTCTGCTAGGAAACTGAGAATCTAAATCCAAACCCCAGACCCCACTCTTTAAGAATTATGTTGAGAAGCGTCCTGGGTTTTTGATACAAGTCTTGCTGATACCTGTGCATGTGCTCAGGACTGTCACTGAACTGCTGTGGGGTTTTGAATGAAATGAACATTTAACTGCACAGCATTGTTGAAAGGAGAATAACAATTCAGCCAGAGTATGTAAATTTCAGTGAAGGAAATAAATCCTAAAACGTCATTGCTCTGATGACAGGAACTAATGGGCTTTAGTTAAAGTTTAACCAACTGTTTCCTTTTAACAACAAAGCTTATGAATGTGCATGTACAATACCAGGCTCCAGGACTCTCTCTTCATTTTAGATGTTTATTGCAATAGTGCAGATAAGAATATTCCCAAGACATTAAAAGCTTATTTGTTAACTTGTAGCTAATTATTAACTTGCATATGGTATGTACGCAGCGCAGGAGAATACAATGCAATTTCTTTTTCTTGTTTGTTTTTGCCGTTTTCCTCTGAAAGATTCAAAAAGAGTTGTGTGCCCACAACCTGCATAGATCAAGTCACCCAAGTAACCAAGTGTACTGTGTCGTGAGCAAGACTTATTCTCTTTCTTCTGAGCAGTGGCTAATTGTGACCCTCCGATCCCCATGACAACCCCACCCCTCCTGCCTCAACCCTCGTTCTTTGTGAATCTCTTTAAAAAAGGCCAAAACTGGGCCTTCCTGAATTGTACAGTTTGTAGTCACAATACAGTTTATATTTGCTCATGAGGCATCAGACTGGGAAAGTATCCCTAATTAATGTAAAATACAAAAGATGCACTCCACTTCTCTAATTACTTGTTGCATTAATCAGGTTACAGCCATTTGCAAGTGCAAACAAAACTTTTTTTTATTTGCTCACAGGATGAGAGTTTCACTGGTTGGGTTAATATTTATGGCCCATCCCACAGTTAAGTGTCAACCACATTGCTGTGGGTGTGGACTCACATGTAGCCCAGACTGGATAAGGATGGCAGTTTCCTTCCCTAAAGGACATTAGAGAACCAGATGGGTTTTTCCCAACAATTGTCAACAGTTTCATGGTCAACATTAGCCTCCTAATTCCAGATATTTGTTGTATCCAAATTCTACCATTTGCTATGGCGAGATTCAAACCCAGGCCCCCAGAATATGACCAGGTCTCTGGATTAACAGTTTGGCGGTAATACCACAAGGCCATCCCCTCTCCAAAGAAAGCTTGAAGGAATAGAATTGAAAAGTACAGAAATTAATCTAAACTTATATAAAATCTTGGTTAGACCAAGTTTTGAATACTGTGAACTGTGATGTAAAGTGTGTAATTTAAATATTTTTAAATTAATTTACTTTTAGATTTTTGGATTTTGAATGAGTGACATATGGGCTCTTTGTGTGACTGAAGTAGTTTGCTTCTAAGTAATTTTAGAGCCATGACGTGTGACTTCCTCGAGAGTAATAGGCATTTGTTTACATTGGAAATAAATACTGTAGTGCATTCAACTTTCAGGTAGAATATTCTGAAAGTTTTTTGTTTGGGCTTAGGAAAACATCCATAGCTTGGTAAAAGCCTTTTCAGTTTCAGTTTGGGGCAATCTTCAGAAGTCCTGGCTGAAGCCAGATGCATAAAACAGTTGTTCTTGAGAAAGGGAAGTAATTTAGGGCAATTAAGAATTAGGTTATCTCAGTGTAAAGAATTTAGCTTTAGAGTTCCAGAAGTGTTTTTGTTGAAACCTTCACAGGATTATTTGAAGTGGAGAAAGTCTAAGCTCAGTTGTAGGAAGGCTGCAGGAAGAGGCTATCAGTCTCTCAAGATATGGAATTGAAGCCACAGCTAAATTAATTCCTATATATATAAAAGGAAAGGAAATTCTCTCTGGTGTGAGTAGTATAAAGGAGTGTTGTTGGGATTAATAGAATTGTACTTTACCGTGTGTTTTAAAATCTTTAATTTTGGGTTATATGAAAATAGTTTGGTTTATTCTATCTTCATTTCCTTTGTGTAATAAACTTCTGTTTTATTGTCAAATCCAAACCTGCTGTATTACATACTTGTGTTTCAGTGAAAGACCGCTTTGTTAAACCTAAAGAAAAACCAAGATATGATCTACCAACCCAGACTTCAGTTTGGGCTCTGACATGTCCATTAATAACATCAGCTGCGATAATCACAAAACAGTACAGGTCTCCACAGAACAAAAAAGATATAAAGCATTGGAGAAACTGCAAAATATTTAGTAGAATGAAAGCAGAACTGAGGCTGTATACCTATGAGAAATGATTGACAAAATATAGTTCTTTTCTCCAGAACTTGAAACTTGCCTGAGATCTTTAAGATTGTGAAAGGGTGTCTCACAAATACCAGAATGTCATATAAGCGCTTAGGTTATAAGTATAAGAACAGTGTGGTCCTCATCAAGGACAAAGAAGCAGTCAGTGCTTATTGGAAGGTACATTTCAAGGATAGTGGATGCATTGGTCTAAGGGAAAATCCTTGGATTCTGGGGAAGTACCAGATGATTGGAAAAATGCAGCAGCAGGCCATTCAGCCCATCAAGTCCACACCAACCCTCCAAAGAGCATCCCACCCAGACCAGGCCCCTACCCTGTAATCCTGCATTTCCCATGACTAATCTACCTAACCTGCACATTTTTGGACTGTGGGAGGAAACCGGAGCACACAAAGGAAACCTACACAGACATGTAGAGAATGTGCAAACTCCACATAGACCATCACCTGAGGGTGGAATCAAACCCAGGTCCCTGGTGCTATGAGGCAGCAGTGCTAACCACTGAGCCACCGTGCTGCCCAACATAACACCTCTATTCAAAAAAGCAGGAGGGAAAATGTATGGAACAATAGGCTGATTAACCTGACATCTATTGTTGGACAAGTATTGGAACCTATTATCAAGGAAGTAATAGCAGAACATTTGAAAAAATCATAATCCAATCAAGCAGAGTCAGCATGGCTTCATGAAAGGGAAATCCTGCCTGACTAATTTGTTAGTTTTTCTTGGAAATCTCAACCAGAGTGGATAGAGGTGAATGAGTAGATGTGTTATATTTGGACTTCCAAAGGCATTCAACAAGGTACCTCACAAAAGGTTAAATTACATGATAAGAGCCCATGGCATTGGAGGTAGTATGGATAGAGAATTGGATCATGCATTGGAAACAGCAAGTGGTTCTTTTTCAGCTTGGTGACCTGTGACCAGTGGGGCTACACAGGCATCAGTAGTGGGACCACAACTACTAACAAATATATTAATGGCTTGGAGGAAGGAAGCGAACATACTAAAGCCAAGTTTGCAAAAAAACACCGAAAAAGATGAAAAGGCAGGTTGGGAGAGGGATACACACAGTTTACAGAGAGGTATTGGTAGATTAGTTATTTGGGTGAAAAGTTGGCAAATGGAGTATTATGTAGAAAAATGTGAAGTTGTTAATGTTGGAATGGAGAACAAAATTGGCTTGAAGGTAGGAGACAGAGAGTGGTGATGGAAGGTTGCTTTTCAAACTGGAGGACTGTAACCAGCAGTTTGCCACAAGGAGCGGTGCTGGGTCCACTGCTTTTTGTCATTTATATAAATGATTTGGATGTGAACATAGGAGGTATGGTTAGTAAGTCTGCAATTGACACCAAAATTGGAGGTGTAGTGGACAGCCAAGAAGGTTACCTCAGAGTACAACGGGACCTTGATCAGATGGGCCAGTGGGCCGAGGAGTGGCAGGTGGAGTTTAATTTAGATAAATGTGCGGTGCTGCATTTTGGAAAGGCAAATCAAAACAGCACTTATACAGTTAATGGCAAGGCCCTTAGGAGTGTTGCAGAACAAGGGGACCTTGGATTGCAGGTTCATACTTCCTTAAAAGTGGAGTTGTAGGAAACAGGGTAGTGAAGAAGGTGTTTAGTACTTTGGCTTTTATTGGTCAGTGCATTGAGTATAAGAGTTGGTAAATCATGTTGCAGCTATACAGGACATTGGTTAGGCCACTTTTGGAATATTCAGAAAATATTTACAAGGATGTTGCCAGGGTTGGAGGGTTTGAGCTATAGTGAGAGGCTGAATAGGCTGGGGCTATTTTCCCTGGAGCATCTGAGACTGAGGAGTGATCTTTTAGAGGTTTATAAAATCATGAGGGGCATGGATAGGGTAAATAGTCAAGGTCCTTTCCCCAGAGTTGGGGCGGGGTGTTCCAAAACCAGAGGGTAAAACTGGGAGAGTCTAGAACCAAAGGGCATAGTCTCAGAATACAGGGGTGCCAATTTAAGACTGAGATGAAGAGGAATTTCTTCTCTCAGAGGATTATGAGGCTTTGGAACTTATTGCCATGGAGAGCTGTGGGATCAAGTCCTTGTGTACATTTAAGGCTGAGGCAGATCGATTCTTGATCAGTTGGGGAATGAAGGGTTATAGGGAAAACACAGGAAAGTGGACACGAGGAGTGTCGGGTCAGCCATGGTTATATTGAATGGCAGAACAGATTTGATGGACCAAATGGCTGACTCCTGTTCCTATTTCTTATGGTCTATGGACCTAGCAAGACACAATTTAAGGGAAATTAGGGGTAGGTAACAGATGCAGGCCTTGCTGGTGACACTAATGTCCCAAGAAAGAATTTTAAAAAGCAACTCAGTTAAAAGTGATTGTTTGCGTTTGAGAGTAGGAAGAAACAATGTGAAAAATTGTTTTCATACAGTAGGAGACTGTTGCAGTGAATGTGGGTGTGGTCACCTGACCATAGGAAGAATATTCTTAGCCCCGGGGCGGATATGCAATTGAGCAACCCTGATAACATAAAGCATTCAAAGCTTAAGCTAGGAGAAAGGTAACTCAATTTGATCTGATTCATATCCAGAACGGAGAACAGTTATGAGGTTTTTCATAACGAAAAGATCACAGAAACGCATTTCCTGATTGTATGAGAGGATAAGCCGTTTTGTGGAAACCACAGCGAAACTCTGAACAGAAAGTTACCTTTTAAAATTTCACATTGCGAGGAAGGATCTTTCAATTTTCTCTCAAAGTTTAATGATTCATCAAGGAATCAGCTTGTAAAGAGACTACCTTGAGTAAAAATTAATCCATCTCCAACTTGTAAAGTTGTTTCACACACTCGGACTGTTGACAAAGAACTTTCTTCTTATCCGAGTTAACTATCCCACTCATTTGAAAAGCTGCGGATTCGTGCAAACCAAAGGCAGAAGAGTGGAAACGGAAGGTAAAGAAAATCCAAGGAAAATATCAAAGATTGGAATTGAACACAAAGAAGAAAGAATGAGTAACCAATAACAGATGATGCAATGAAGTCGGAAGGCAAGAGAGCAGGTAATCCCAGCCTTTCAAATGGAATTATTTCTTTCTAATAAGTGCTCAATGTAGTCACAATTGCTTAATTGCGTGTATTATTGCTGTGGCTCAGGAATAATGATTTAAATGGCTATTTTAACCTCATCTCTCCCAGACTGCGTGTGGAGTGTGAGCAGGATGAGGGGTGTTGAGGTGATAGAGACAGGTATTTGTAATAACGGGAGTGATGAGAGGATGAGGTTGGGGTCTCACTGGAATAGAATGAGGACATTCAGCCCCTCAATCCTGTTCCACCATTCAATGAAATTATGGCTAATCCGTTTGTTAAATCTATTTTAGTTCTTAATTCCATATCCCTTAATAATGTGGCCTCACAAAAGACCATCAAATTTCAATTTAAAATTATTAATTGAGCTGCCATCCACTGCTTTACGTCGACAGGACTTACTTCCAAACTTCTAACCCCCTTTGTGTGAATGAGGGCTTTCCACACTTCTGCCTATTTCTTAGATATGATTTTTCTGGTTTTGTTTCCCTGTCCTGGATTCCCCCCAACACTACCCTCCCTTGGCTGCATCTAAAATCAGAGAATATTCCTCTGTCCTGCATTTCCAATATATTTCCCATTGCTGGCAATTTACACCCTCATGTCTCTCTCACTGCTGTCAGACCTGACTATCACAGAAGACTGTCAAGGTTGAGTTGTTAAGTATACTCAAGGCTGAGATAGGCAGATTTCTAAGCATTAGGGAATAATCAGATCAGCCACGATGTCATTGAACGGCAGAGCAGATCCGATGGCTTTAATGGCCTAATTCTGCTATTCCTTGGTCTTATCTCTAGCTGGCTCCCTGCTCTGGATCCAAATACCCTGTTACCTCTGGGACATTACTTCCTTTTACACCAACACTGGACTCAAATCCCCATCACCCAACATACACTTGGCACCCTACTTAACTGGCATCCTACCCCTCTGTTCTTTCCTGCTAATCCTACCATTCATTTCGGTCCTCTGCAACTAGTTGCACTAGTGATTTGTTGTGATAGAACTGGGCCTTCTATGTCTCTTTAAGGTCACTGTTCAGTAATTTGTGATGGTGTATGGCCTGAATGATCAAAATCCAAGATCAGAGAGTAATTGCAAGAGATATTTCAGCAGATTGGATGAGCACTGGAAGTGTTGTAACATTCAAGATTATGGGTCTAGTGCTGGAAAGTGGGACTAGTGTAGATTTAATGTAGCTTTGGTGGTATAGACTTGATGGGCCAAAAGTGTCTCTTTTCTACTGTATGATTCAATAATTCGAAGAACTGCCAAGGCCAGCATTTTTTGACCATTCATAATGGTCTTGAGAAAGCCTTATTTTTGTTCTGATATTACTGAGTGATTTCTTAGGTCACATCAGCACACAGTGAATGGCTCACATTTATGTAAGAGGCAAGGTAAGGATAGCATTTTTCCTCGTCTAAAGAATATCGGGAAACAACTTATCTGACTGGTTAAGTATAACTTTTTCTACAACTTTTTTTTGTTCAAACTGAATTCAATTTCACAAACTACTTTGATAAGATTTGAACTCACATTCTCTGTCTAAGTCTCATGAACTGTGAGTCCGGTAATAGCAGTATTACACCACTGTCACTGGTAGCAGCCAATGGCTTCCACAGAATTATAGAATTGTTACAGTGTAGAAGGAGACAACACCTTTCCTTATTATAGTTTTAGCACTTTATGAATACATATATCATACATTGACACATGAATGGGAGGGGAACGGTGGGTTAGAAAGTGTGCATGGGCAATAAGAAATGGCTGTAAATATGCTTAGGAGACTAGAAATAAAGATTAGGAATTGGCACAGGCTTGGTGGGTCGAAGGGCCTGTTCCTGTGCTGTATTGCATTGTATTCATATTATACATAAAATGGTATGTAAAGTCCCCTAGACGCGAGATTCATTATTTACGCATAATGATACTTTGTGAATGGCAAGTTACTAATTTAAAAATCTGTAGAAAATGAAACATCATATCTAAGTAAAGAAACAGGAAGCAAAATGCAAAATTAATAATACCTTTCTATGTTTTTTCCTTAGCACAACAGCATATCAATGAAGTATGGATCTGACCTAAGAACCAAGGCTGCTCATGTTGCAAAGAAATACTTCCATGTCTAAAAGCAAGAGTTCTCTTGTAAAGTGAACTTTGTTGGAAAGAGAAAAGGAGGGATTGAATTGGACCACTGCCAATTTTTTTTTCTCCCTGTGTTTGCTATGGCTTTCCATTGGCATATCACTAAATCCAGGCTGGGATTATTTATGTTTGTAACTCTTTCCTGCTTTCAATGGTCTTCAGCCATACAAAACTGTTCCAGGAAGCAGAACAATTTCAATAATGTCTTTGAAACTCAATACAGCAGTAATCCCCATCTGGTTTCTGGGACAACATTGGTTCTTTATCAAATTGTGCACAACTTCCTTGATATGGTTCAACCAAACCCCTTTCCATCAGGTGAGAAGCCTTTATTTTTACTAATGGGAGTACTACTTACAAGTATATGATTTAGGTCATTTGGCCACTTGATCCTGCTCTGCCATTCAATGGGATTCATCGCTGATCTGATTATGGCCTCAACTTCATGTTCCAGCCTAATCCCAAAAACCATTGATTTCCTTTCTCATCAAGAATTTATCTACCTCAGCCTTAAATGTCTTCAATGATTTTGCCTCCATGATCTCTGGGGAAGATAGTTTCAAAGTCTCAAATTTCTGAGAGAGCAGTATTTCTCCTCATCACTGTCTTCAATGGAAAATTCGCTAATTATTAAATGGTGTTCCCTAGTTCTGTTTGACAAAATGAAATAACCTTTCAGCACCCATCCTCTCAAGTGTCTTAGGATCTTATATTTCAATTAGATCACATCTTATTCTGTGAATGGGTATAGATCCAACCTGTTCAACATTTCTTCATGACGTAAACCTTTCATTCCAGGAGTGGATTGTGTGAAGATTTTCTCAAAAGCTTCTAACACATTTATAGCTTTCGTCAAACCATATGGAGTCCTTTATGGCTTCAATGGAACTTAACTATTTTTATTTTCCATTAACCTTGCAATAAACATAAACATGCCATTTGCCTTTTTAATCACATTAATGTAGCTGCATGTTAACTTTTCGTGATTCATGCCAAAGACACCCAGATCCCTCTATCGTTCAGAGTTCTGCAATCTCTCTCTATTTAAAAAATATGCTGTTTTTCACATTTCCACATAACCAGCTCACATTTCGCCGCACGATACTTCATCTGCCAAATTTATGTCCACTTACTTAACCCATCTATATGCTTTTGAAGACTCCTTACAACCCCGTCACGACTTACTTTCCTACCTACCTCAGTGTCATCAGCGAGGTTAGCAAGCATGCATTTGGTCCCTTCGTCCAAGTCACTGATATAAGTTATAAATAGTTAAGGGTCCAACATTGATCCCTGTGGCATACTATTTGTTACATTTTATGTAGTAATCTTTAATGTGGGACTTTGTCAAATGCCTTCTAGAAATCTAAGTACATTATATTCACCAGTGTCAGTATAGCAACTGACCAGGCTCACCAATGGCGTCTGGAGATTTTTAAAAGGAGGGTCTTGTGGAACAGTGGTAGTGTTTTTACCTCTGGGCCAGAAGGTTCAGATTCAAGTCCCACTTCAGCATTTGATAGCCAAAGAACTGTGTCATGACAGGTCCAAATATATTGATTAAAAAGTAATAAAGGGGGAGGGGACAGGTGATACTGAAGATTAGGGAATGATCTGTGTGGCTGTTTGGTTAATAAATTCCATTACGAGGAAAACAAGTCTTAACGTCCAATTCATTAATAGGCTTAAATTTGAATTAACATTGTGTGCCTAAAGATTAAAGTTAGAAATTAAGAGTTTCTCACAGACAGAAGGTTGCATTGTGAGTTACTTTTAAGAAGAATGGCACAAAGTGTGAGGTTTTGGAATTCTCACTAATGTTCTGTGCAGCTGAATGTTATGACTAATGGAGAAAGGAAGTAAACATAACGACATGATTTATACTTTCTCAAAGAAAGAAAAAGGCATGAGATTGGCTCTGTGTCATGGATAGGTGGGAGAGGTGAATTGGACAGTTTTCAGTGTCCCCCTTGCCTCTCCATACCAGGAGTTTTTATCTGTGTTTTCTTATTTTGTTCCCATTTTAAAAATAGACAGTGGCGCCAAATTTGATCAAATGTTTTGAGGGGGTAACCAGGGCTGTTGATGTGGGTAATGCATGTGACGTATTCTACATGGACTTCAGCAAGGTTTTTGATAAGGGCCCCCATGGCAAACTGGTGAGGAAAGTAACAGACTATGGGGTCCAAGACAAAGTGACACAATGGACCCAAAATTAGCTGAGAGGCAGGAAAACAGAGAATCCTGCCACGGCAGATAATGGAATTTGGATTCAATAAATAACTGGAACTATGAGTCTAATGATGACCATGAATCCACTGTTGATTGTTGGAAAAACCCATCTGGTTCACTAATGCCCTTTAGGGAAGGAAACTGCCATCCTTACCTGGTCTGGCCTAGATGTGATTCCAGACCCACAGCAATGTGGTTGACTCATAATTGCCCTCTGGGCAATTAGGGATGGGCAATCCCTAATTAGGGATGGTGTGGCTATGTAACCATTGAAATTTATCTACAGAGGACTCTGTACAATAAGCATTCCAATAATCAAATAATTCCTTGGATAAGATTAGCTTTTATGTTTGTAGAACAGAATTCTTGTAACTTGGCTGCATCTTATTTACATGATTATTAGGCTTGTTGTGAAATTTGAAACCTTTGATTTCCTTTATTGTTTCTCCACAATCCCCCACCTCCCCCCCACCCCCACCCCATGGTAGGCTGATGGAGAAAGTGAAGTCGCATGGAGTCCAGGGTATACTAGCTAGATGGATAGAGAACTGGCTGGGCAACAGGAGACATTGAGTTGTAGTGGAAGGAGTTTCTCAAAATGGAGAATTGTGACCAGTGGTGTTCCACAGGGATCCATGTTAGGACCACTGTTGTTTGTGATACACAATAATCACAGATCACAGATAAATGATCTGGAGGAAGGTATAGATGGTCTGATTAGCAAGTTTGCAGATGACACTAAGATTGGTGGAGTAGCAGATAGTGAAGGGGGCTGTCGGAGAATGCAGCAGAATATAGATAGATTGGAGAGTTGGGCGGAGAAATGGCAGGTGGAGTTCAATCCAGGCAAATGCGAGGTGATGCATTTTGGAAGATCCAATTCAAAAGCGAACTATACGGTAAATGGAAAAGCCCTGGGGAAAATTGATGCACAGAGAGATCTGGGTGTTCAGGTCCATTGTGCCCTGAAGGTGGCAACGCAGGTCGATAGAGTGGTCAAGAAGGCATACAGCATGCTTTCATTCATCGGATGGGGTATTGAGTACAAGAGTTGGCAGGTCATGTTACAGTTGTATAGGACTTTGGTTCGACCACATTTGGAATACTGCCTACAGTTCTGGTCGCCACATTACCAAAAGGATGTGGATGCTTTGGAGAGGGTGCAGAGGAGGTTCACCAGGATGTTGCCTGGTATGGAGGGCGCTAGCTATGAAGAGAGGTTGAGTAGATTAGGATTATTTACATTAGAAAGACGGAGGTTGAGGGGGGACCTGATTGAGGTCTACAAAATCATGACAGGTATAGACAGGGTGGATAGCAAGAAGCTTTTTCCCAGAGTGGGGGACTCAATTACTAGGGGTCACGATTTCAAGGTGAGAGGGGAAAAGTTTAAGGGAGATATGCGTGGAATGTTCTTTACGCAGAGGGTGGTGGATGCCTGGAACGCGTTGCCAGCGGAGGTGGTAGAGGCGAGCACGATAGCGTCATTTAAGATGTATTTAGACAGATACATGAATGGACAGGGAGCAGAGGGATACAGATCCTTGGAAAATAGGTGACAGGTTTAGATAGAGGATCTGGATTGGCGCAGGCTTGGAGGGCCCAAGGGCCTGTTCCTGTGCTGTAATTTTCTTTGTTCTTTGTTCTTTTATTCTTCCTGAAAAGCCATACAAGAGCAAACAACGATAATCTATTGAACAAGATATGATCTTGAGTATACATGGTACTATTTTGTAAAAAGGTAAAATAAATACCATTATTAGGACAGATTCAAATTATAGTTCCCTGTGTTGAAAATTGCTGTCTGATTGTCCAGTCACCTAGAAACTATGTATATACTGATCGCACCAGTTCTTTTTCTCATACTTTGTAATGCCTCAGTTTTAATTCAACATATGTTGCTAATGGTGCAGCTGGGTAAACAGCTCTCTCTATCTCTCCACCCCCCACCCCGGCTTTAACTATTTCCTTTCCAAAGAACACAAGACAAGTAATAGATGACAGAGAGGTGGTGGCATAATAGTAAGGCCATTGGACTAGTAAACAGCCTGAGGCTTATTCTTCGCTGGCACAGATTCAAAGCTCACCAGTGGTGCTACTTAAATTTTATTAATATATGTGGGATTGATAACTCGTATGGTGCCATGCAATATTCATCAATTGTTGTAAAAACCCATCTGGTTCATGAGTGTCCTCCCATTTCAAGGACCGTAACTTCCCCCCTCCGATGATCGAAAATGCCCTCAACCACATCTCTTGCATTTCCCACACTTCTGCTCTCACATCCCCTCCCCCCAACAAAATTAAAGACAGAATCCCCCTTGTGCTCACATACCACCCCATCAACCTCCGCATCCAGCGTATCATTCTCTGCCACTTCTGCCACCTGCAATCTGACCCCACAACCAAGGATATATTTCCCTTCCCACCCCTATTTGCCTTTTGTAGGGACCGCACTCTCCGCGACTCCCTTCATTCCACACTTCCCACTAACCCCACCACCCCCAGCACCTTTCCCTGCAACCACAGGAAGTGCTACACCTGCCCTTACACCTCCCGCCTCACCTCCATTCAAGGCCCAAATCAAATCTTTCACATCAGACAGGGGTTCACCTGCACATCCGTCAACTTGGTCTACTGTATCCACTGCTCCCGATGTGGCCTCTTCTACATTGGTGAGACCAAGCGTAGACTCAGAAACCACTTTGTAGAGCACCTGTGCCCTGTTCATGACAAATGATAACAGCTTCCGGTCACCAACCATTTTAACACACCCCTCCCACTCCCTGAGTGACATGTCCATCCTGGTCCTCCTCCAGTGTCACAATGACGTAACCCGCAAACTGGAGGAGTAACACCTCATATTCTGCCTCGGGAGCCTACAGCCCAATGGCCTAAACATGGAATTCACCAGTTTTAAAATCTCCCCACCCCCAGCCTCATCCCATGTCCAAGCCTCCCTCTCATCCCTGCATCCTTGAACTGACACAACCTGCCCATCTTCTCTCCCACCTATCCGCCACTCCCACCTCACTGACCAATCCCCACCACTCCCTATCTGCATTCACCAATCACCATCCCACCTACTTTCCCCAGCCCCACTCCTCCTCTCTCTATTTATTTCTGAGCTCCCTTCCCCCTTCCCATTTATGAAGAAGGGTCCCTACCTGAAACGTCAGCTTTCCTGCTCCTCTGATGCTGCCTGGCCTGCTGTGTTCCTCCAGCTCCACACTGTGTTGTCTCTGGTTCATGAATGTCTTTTAGGGAAGGGAATTTGCCATCCTTACTTGATCTGGTTTACCTGTGACTCCAGACCCACTACGATATGGTTGGGTCTTAGCAGCCCCATGAAATGGTCAAGAAAGTCACTCACTTCAAGGGGGTAATTAAGGATGGGTAAGAAATGCTGAACCTGCCAGCGACATCACATATCACAAAACAATTTTTTTAAAAAAGTAAAAAGATCATTCAACCACTCAGTAATTGGCTAAGACGCGTGTTATGGCAAGCAGGTTTGCACAACTTGAAAAAAAGTGAAAATCGAAAGAACTGCGGGTGCTGTAAATCAGGAACAAAAATAGAAATTGCTGGAAAAACTCAGCAGGTCTGGGAGCATCTGTGAAGAAAAATCAGATTTAATGTTTTGGGTCCAGTGACCCTTCCTCAGAGGGTTCAGGGTTCTGAGGAGGGGTCACCGGACCCGAAATGTTAACTCTATTTTCTCTCCACAGATGCTCCCAGACCTGCGGAGCTTTTCCAGCAAATTCTGTTTTTGTTCCTTAAAAGAAAAGGACATGAGTAGACCATTTAGTTCTTCAAGTCCACTGTGTTACTTAATGGGATCAATGGTTGATCTTTTACTTCAACACCATTTTTTTGCACTATCCCATATCCCTTCATGATTTTAATATGTAGAAATCTATTGCTATCAACCTTGAACATGTTCAGTGACTGAGCCTCTACAGTCCCGCCAGGGCAGAGCATTACTATGATTTCCAACTCACTGTGTGAAGAAATTCCTTCCTTTCGCAGCCCTAAATAATCTGCTCCTTACCCTGAGACCCGTGTATCTAGAATTCTTGGTCATGGGAAACATTCATCCTGCCTTCATCCTATTGATCTCTTGTAAGAATTTTGTATGTTTGAATGAAACCACCCTCATTCTTCTTAAATAGAAAGAATCCAATCCCAGTCTACTTAATCTGTCATCAAAGGGCTATCCCTCCACCTAGCAATTAGTTTGGCGCATGTTTGTCACATTCCCTCTGTGACAAATATATTTTTCCTGAGGTAAGGAGATTAAAAGTGCATGTAATATTTCAAGTATGATCTCACCAAGGTATTATTAATTTCAGTAAAAGACATCTTTATTCCTATACTCACATCCTTTTATAATAAAGTCATAAGCCAATATGTTTTAAAGTCATTCATGGGATGTGGGTGATGCTGGCTAGGCCAGCATTTATTGCCCATTCCTAATTGCCCTTGTGAAGGTGGCACTGTGCTGCTTTCTTGAGCTGCGATAGTTCTTGGGGTGTAGGGTTGCCCACAGTACTAAGAGGAAAGGGAATTCCAGGATCTTGGTCCAGGCACACTGAAGGGATGGTGATATATTTCCAAGACAGAATGGTATGTGTCTTGGAGGGAAACTTGCAGGTGGTGGTGTTCCCTTGTATCTGCTGCCCCTGTTCTCGATTATAGTGGCTCTGGGTTTGGGAGATGCTCTAATTTCCTTCTTTCCGAGCCCTTTCTTTACTGCAATCACAAGGCAGTTTGCACACTAACTATTCAGTCTTATTGATTAGAAGCAGCAACTTCAAGGCAAATGGGAATACAGAATATCTAGCTATCTTCCAATTCTTTGTTGCTTCTCTGCAAACCATTGTATTTTTATAGTCTGAAGGCTTTCTGTCTCTGCATTGCTCGCACGCTGGCCCCTGGGCAGGCAGATAGCTTCTCAGCGAGTTGTTGTTCTCCTGAGCATTCCTGATCCACATAACTGATCCTGATTGAAAAACCAATGAACAGCCTGTCTCCTAGCAAAACTTCCTGAAACACAAACCCATAGTGCCACTGAGTCTCCAACATCTTCCCAACTCCCCCCACCCCAGACACCACTTAATGCTTGAACAAAGGAACAGTATGAATATAACTCGTATCAGTTCCAGTAACTTGTTTTTAAAGGTTCAATATCTCTTTGCACAGTCCTTGCTTTAAAGCAATATCCTTTTCTCATTTTGGTCCATAATTCAAAATTAAGAAAGATAAAGAAATGTGGTCTTTACAAAGACAAAGTCCCAAGAAACTGTTAGATAGACAAATAAAAAAATGTTTTAGCTACTCACATGGTTAATTACATGGGATCAATATCTCTGTTGATTTGTGTCCAAAATGAATGATCATTAATGTTCGCTAATAGAGCTGTTTGTTTCTATTTCACAGATTTAGTCAACACACTCATACAAAATGCTGCAAGTCTACAGCACAACTATGTAAAGGTAAGAACAGTGAAACAGCAATGAGTTTCAATGTTTTTAGGTTGAATGAATAAGGTATTGAAATTGGAAAGCATTTCCAAGAAATATCAGAGATAGCAAGAACTGCAGATACTGGAGTCAGAGATAACAAAGTTCAGAAATTTCTGAAGAAGGGTCCCGACCAGAAACGTCAGCTTTCCTCTTCCTCTGATGCTGCCTGGCTTGCTGTGTTCCTCCAGCTCCACACTGTGTTATCCAAGAAATATCACCTTTAATACTTCACCAATCCCTGTGTACAATTAAAGCCAATATCGGTCAACAGCTGCCTTGACCACTTTCAGCTTGACGCCAAAGGTGATTCCACCTACTCCCTGTTCCGTAAGGAATTTGCCTGTTTCTACCTATGACATTTTAATCAGGGTAACCAACTCTTAAGAGATACAATAGGCAATACTGTGATTGTGGGACCATGTAGGTTGGAGGGTGACCATAAAAAGAGGAAGGGGTGATGCTGGTGAAAATTGGAATGGAAGAGGTGTGAAATGCTGGTAGTCTATAAGAACACAGCAGGGTTGGGGGAAAGGCCAATGGCCATTGCCACACAATAAGTGCTCATTAGAAATAAATGATGCAAAGGTAAGAGAAGATTGCTATGCTTAGAGTGCCACAGGTTGCTCGAGAAAAAAAGGTGACAGGTGTTCCTTCAGAGATGTGGAAGAAAAATCAACATAATGGATGAGACAAAAATAGAAATTGCTGAAGGAATTGCAGGTCTGGCAGCATCTGTAGGAAGCAAACAGAATCAACATTTCGAGTCCAGTGACTCTTCATCAAAGTTAACCCTGCTTTCTTACCATGGATGCTGCCAGACCTGCTGAGTTTCTCCAGCAATTTCTGTTTTTGTTTCAGATCTTCTGTATCTGTAGTTCTTTGTTTTATTAAAATAAGGGATGATCCTTTAAAATAAAGGACGATTAGTCCCAATCAGTCAATGGGAGAACCAGCTTGAATTACGTGCAGATGTCTTGGCATATAGCTTAAAACCAGAACCTTCCACTCTTTCACACCGCTGTTCAAAGTAGAGTCTGAAGATACAGGAACAAGAAAATCCTTGGAACAGGGCAAACAAAGAGACCCCAATGTTTGAAACAGGTCTTTATGAGAGTACAGTGGTAGATTAGAGTGATAGAGTGGCCAAAATGGGTCTAGAATATCACCGAGGTCTATCCTCCCAACAAGTGGGAGTTGAGGGAATTGGTATGGGCTCAATGGTAACAAATGCACAGATTTGCATGCATTGTTTGTGACTGGACTACTCTTGTAAATCTCTGAGTATGTCTTGCACACATTGTCTTTACATTGCATTGGTCTCCTAATTTGATACACATGTGTGGTTGATATTCAGTTGGGTGATATCCCTTTTCTGGGCAGTGTTGCTCCTTTGCCAGCTGTTGTTGTTCCATTTCCATCATTTGGTTGCTGTGAGCCTCTAGGTCTGCTGATAAATTTGTGGATTGTGCAGGTTGTTGGTTCACATCTCCCTGATCAGCCTCACATAGTTCAGGAACAGCTTCTCCAGCTGAACGTATGTGCCTGTGGTTGTAATGGTATGTCCGATCATCCATTTCCATCACATTTGATTGAGGTTACAAGTGCTCCATCCAGCTCCCAGGCTGCGACTTGGGCTGACACTTGCTCAGAATGTTTGTACCTCGATTAACTTTCCAATGCTCAACTTTGGCGATGGTTTGGCAGTCTTGTCAAAATGAAACAAAAACCAAGTTGCTGGAAAAGCTCAGCAGGTCTGGCAGCATCTGTGAAGGAAA